GGAATCCCTCTTATTTCTACTATATATTCTTCGAACCAAAACTCGTCATATTTATTTGAAAGGATAACATACAGAGCTGCCGTTCATAATGTCAAAGTTAGAGATCGTTTTTTAATAACTATACCGACTCACAAAACGTCACTATTTAAACGCTCCTTTAGTTACAATACTGCAAAGACGTAGAATGAATTACCATGCTGGTTCGGTAAGAAGCGAACTACGCCTATTATAATAAAGACATTATTATTATTATTCTGTTGGTAGGGCACTCGAGTCTACAACTTGGTTGTATAAACCACTTTCGAGTGTTCATTTCAACCTCCAATACCGGTCCGTGTTCTCGTAGTAAATAGGTGCTGACTACTGTCATTTATGCGTTCCCTCAATAGACCGAAATTGGTTGTATAAACCACTTTCGAGTGTTCATTTCAACCTCCAATACCGGTCCGTGTTCTCGTAGTAAATAGGTGCTGACTACTGTCATTTATGCGTTCCCTCAATAGACCGAAATTAAAAGGGGAACAGTCAACGAAAAATATGTGAGGATATGCTCTCCTTCCAGATCCACGCTTATATTATTTTTATTCCCAAAATCTGGCTGTCGGTTAAATTCGTTGCGGAGGTGTGGAGCTACTGGGTAGCTTAGTAGACTAAATAAATAGCAGAAAACTCGAAACCATTGTCTACGTTCGAAGAAACTTAACATGGTTTTAGGAACCCACGTGTTTTACTATCACGATAATTAATTTTAATTTTGTGCTGGAAATCAATAATTTTGTAGGATTGTGAGTCTGTTCTTTGACGCGGCCCTTATCAAGTTTAGTAACAATTTGGCCACAGTTTGTTTAGATGATTTTATTCAAATGTTGAACTACGAAAAGTTGGTTCTTACTTATTCATATTTTTGAATAACATCTTTGAGCATAAAGTTTTCCAAATGACTTTTAATTCTTCAATCTATTACATTTTCTTGTTGTTATAAAATGCCATCTGACGATTCTGCAACGCCCGCACGCTTTCTAATTGCCAAGGAAGATGTTCTCTTCCATAGCGCAGTTCTTGTGAAATGTTTGTGTGGATTATAATGAAGAGTTCATTTCCAAAACGTTAATTAATTTAATTTTCCTTGTCTCTGTGGTAATTCAAATAAAAGAACTGGCAGACGATTACCTCTGTCGTTATAACTTAAAATACTATAAGCACAACGTAAAATCTATGGTCCTAACACTATCATCTAGGAGGTCTGAGCCGAGAATAAGGTGAGGAGTATAATAATTCACTTATTTATCCCTGTCTTACTACAGTACTCCATTAATAAATGGGTTTCGGATTACGA